CCGGCCGCGGCGCGTATAAGTGTAGTACCTACGCGTAGAGACGTGGCTGACGGCGTCCGATCCGCGGCTTACATGGCCACGTCATTAGTCGCGGACGTCGTGTCTTCGATCCGCTTTAACGAGCGCTCCTCGAAAATTCCACGCGCGGTTCTCACCCCTAAAGGACGCGCTTCTCCCTCCCTCCAATTCCGGATGCGAGCGAGATTCCGACACGGTGCGATAATATACCGCGGATTAAGCACGGTGTGCGTTGCTCGAAACGAGCAACTTTTTCTTTTCTCTCTTGAGAAGAGAATTTTCGATTAAACCTCCGATCGATCGCGATTTTGGGAAATTAGGGGAATGTTAATGATTATAACGAGTACAGGAAGGGAACAGTTGGAGATGGAAAATTTGTACGTGCATGTAAATGTATTTTATATATATATATATGTTGGTGTGGTGTAATTATTATACAGCTTGGATCTAAATAAATAAAAGGGAAAACGCGAGCATGCAACGGAATGCACGTAGCGAGGAGAGAATGCCGAGATTGCAAAAATATGTTAAATTGGTGAAAAACATGAACTATGCGAAACGGAAAAATGTATTTCTGGTGATTAATTTAGAGGTAGTTTTATAATTGGCTAATTAAATTTGATGGGTTACAAATATAAATATTAGGGTGAGTTATCAAGATGGTTCCAGAATGGCGAACCAGTAGCGAAATTCAATTTATTGGATAACTTGGTTGTAAATTTCTAAATATCATTCAATTTTTTTTCAACGTGAATGATGAGACTTAAATATATATGTGTGTAATAAAATTCTATCTCTATAAAAATTAATATAGATTTAATCAAATATAAATAATTGGTGTAATAATTGTCGTAATTAATTACGACAATTCCATCCAATCCAATTGATCATCCTTTTCTTTACAGGACATTCGTTTATCAAAATATATAAAATATATAATTAATATTCTTATTTATTTTAAGTTATCTGTTAATTTCTTTTTTTTTTAAAGCTTCGTTACTTCGTTATCCAGTACATAAAGTTGAACATTAATTAACTCCTTAAAGCCACTTCCTTCATATATCACAATTTACTTCCTCTTTTATAACATTATCACGCACTTCATACAACATTTAAGTTTATTAATTCGTAGAGAAAACGTGTATTCTCAGACTTGTACAGTAGGATTCGAGTACACGCTACCTCATAATTGTTAATTACATACCTAGATTCCGAGTGGTTGATACATGAATTAAATTTCAATTTTTAGAGACAAGACTTACATATATACATATGTTGATTACAATTGATTTATGGAAATTCAGATATTCGAATTTCTTAATCAAGAAAACTGGAGAGGGGAGGGAAGGAGTGGAAGTGAGATAATCTCGATGAAAATAGATAAATCGCGATGCATCATTCGTCCATCGACGTTTTCTTCTACGCAAAATTTTTCCCCTCAAAGAAACTCTCTCTCTATCTCTCTCTCTCTCTCTCGTTACCATTTGTAAACCTTCCCTTAATTAATTAATTTTGACGATATATATTTCCACCGTTATTTCAATCGGTTGTTGACCGCTCACGCAAACAGAAATCGTATCGATGTCACGATCGTCAAACTCGAGGCAAAACGATTTGCAACAGCATGGCGGTCGTAAGTCGTTGGTACGAAAACGCAAACTGGCAAATCAGGAACGCGACCGGCGATAAGGGACCCTCTCGATCGCCGCGGGCATCTATCAGCTTACTATTGAATTATTTAATTTATATATAAGAGTCCCGTTTCTCAAAGTGCGCCGCGACTCGGCCGCGCGCCAATAAGTCACGGCTGGAGATGATTTACGCGCCGATCCACAATGATAATGCACGCGATAATTAATAAAATTCACGATAATTTACGATCCTTCCATGCTCGCATGAGAGCGTCACGTGCACTTTCGTATGTGCATACACCTACGTATGTATAAGTATCCGTATAGCAACCATCACGAGTATCGCTTCAGATTTAGATTTCGATAATTTTAATGGAAATATGATGTATTAATACGCACCGCGATGCTTTAATATTGTATACCCGTAAATAAAATCGTTTCGATAAAAGAAGAAGAAACAAGAAAATAGACTCGACACTTTTCAATTTACATTATAAAATATACATGTACAAGTATATCGAAAAGTATAAAATTGACATCAGAAGTAAAGACAGTACCATACTTTTGATTTTACGTTTGATCGATAAATAAAAAAAAAAACGAAGAAACGATTTTAAAAGATTTTAAAGTATCACGCCCGGTCGTTGATTTCTCGATCGAGGTTCCCAGCACGCTTCCACGCCGTTCTTCGAGCTTTCTCCATCCCGAGAGTTCACCCCCCGAACGTATCATTATCCGGTAAGTCATCTTAATTGACCTAACCCCGCACGGTGCGTGGTTGGCCGGTAATCGGCGCGATTAAATCGATCGATCGCCGACGCATATATGATAATTCAGTGGGTAACCAAAGGCGGCGGTCAATGGTCGCGCACCTGTTCTCTAAACTCTCTATCCCTCCTCTCTTTCTTGCCGGGACCACGTTATCCGTTATCCGTCCCTGTCCCTCTCGGCCAACCTCTCACCACGCTTACCGCGCTTCCCTCTCTTTCTCTCCCTCCTATAGGTCACGACGCGTCTAGGCTGTTGGGAGGCCGTTTACCCCTTGCCACGATGCACAACACACCCGTCCATCTGTCTATCTATCTATCCATCTCCCTCCTTCCATATCCTCTCCTCCTCCTCTCTTATATCCTTCCCTCCTTTATCAATTAACTCTCGTTGTTCACGAATGATTATTTATCACGAGATATATCTAATAAGTTCCGTTACAAACAGAAAAGAAATTAAACATTGGAATCATATCACGTAATATGGAAAGGGAGCCCACCCAACTTACTCCTATCAATATATATATATAATATAATCTCGTTTCGATCGTTGTTCCGTGGAGAAGCGGGATCGAGTTAGCTTTTAGACCGAGTATTAAATGGCTGGATGCGTGAAACGCGCGAACAGGGCCCCGGCTCTCTTCCGGAGATTAATGGCGGCGCGCCGGCCCTCGGTCGCCGTGGAATTTAAATAGCTTCGAATTGATGTTTGCTTTAAGAACTATCGATACGTACGGCTTTCTCGTCGTGTAATCATCGGCAGGAATGGGAGGTGACACGATGAAACCGGAATGGAAAATCGGGTGTAGAGGGAGAGAGAGAGAGTTGCCGTTACGTGGGGGTGGATTTTAGACGGAGGATTCTTTTTTTTTTTTTTTTAACACAAATATAAAACGAAAACGATACGAAAAAATTGGTACAACAATTGGAATGATCGATGTTCGCGGTTTTTTACATCATCGAACCGATCGTTTCACTTGGAGTGAATTAAAAAAAAAAGAGAAGAAAAAGAAGAACTATCGGTATTAATTACGATAGACAAACAAGTTATCCGACGGAACGCGCACTAAAATCTCGGCGCAAATAAAATTTTTACGAGCGGATATATATGAATATGAAAAGTATCGGGGCTGAGTAGAAGCCTCGATAAACGGGACGTAATATTGCATCGAGGGGAGATAAATCTGGGCGCGAATAAACAATGGGGGAAGGGATAGGGAGGGAAACGAATGAAACCAATTATCCGTACATCTTCACGATCCATACGTCATTACGATCGAGAATTCGATTTTTTTTAAAACTTTCCAACCTCTCCAAGAAGAAGAGGAGGAGGAAGAAGAAGAAGAAGAAGAAGGAGGAGGAGAAGAGGAAGAATAACGATAATAACTCGAGTGAAAATATAGAAAATATCAAATATTAAACGCGTTCCATAAACGCACGTTCCTCACCGTTATTTCCCCTCGATATTTCAAAGGAGACAACGTGTAAACCTTATTGCCATCGCCTCTTCTTCTTCAACCAATCCAATCTCCTATCCAACAAGCTCGAAATTGCTGATTTTAAACCGGGGATCTCGCGAGGGATAGCCGTGGTTGGGTGAAAGGTGAATCACTTCAGATGCGGAAATGTGTCGCCGGATCGCAAGGTTCCGGTACACGGTCATCGTGACACAGTCGTCCTGCTATCTCCTCGACGCACGGGCCTTATGCCTTTCACTGGCCGACGTTCCTCGAGATTTAATAGACAAATAGAAAGACGTTCGCGCGCGTAATATATGATTATCGTCGGATACTTTCCGGCTAAACTGCCGTAATACATGGTTGAATGGTAAATAATTGCGGCGCGCGCGCGCGAGCGAGCGAGCGAGTAGAGAATAGAGAGGAGGAGGGGGGAGGAAAATGCGTGGTTGAAGTTCGAGATGGAGAAACTACAACGGCGCGATGTCGAGTATAATAGTTAATAAATACCTCGGCAGCCTATCGAAGTCGCGCATCGCTTACACGTACAATTCTCTCGGCCAGGATCCATCACACGCACGATTAATTATCTTTGACGAAAGCTTTTCACCGACAACTGTTCGAAATTAATTACTTATTCTCCGATCGACGACAACGAGTGCAATGTCACTCCGATACAAGGTCATCTTTGGACGGATGGACGGTCGTCGAACGTTTCTCTCGATGAAGAAGAAAGTAACGGATATCGTATAGAGTAGTAGTAGTAGTAGTAGTAAGATTCTCGAACGATGTTTAGATGGATCTTTTTCTCTCGCGATTAACTTACGAGGATATATAAAGAGAAGTGGAGAGAATATTCTCGTGAGGACGAATTTTGAATTCGAACGATCTCTCCTTCCTGAAGAGTTTACGATTGATACGTCTAATTTTCACGTTGCTGCTCAAGAATCAAAGCGAATATCTCCGTTCGAGGGGAGTCGCAGAAGCAGGTTGTACGCATCGGAGAAACGTAAAGGCATTAAAGAGATATCGACGAAGAAAATTAATTTCCTGTGGAACGCGCGCTGGCGTTGGTCTCTGTCGGGCGAAAAATAAAAACATGGTTTCCACGTTTTATCCGGGAGCCAGCATGCGGCTACGCACTACCAATTTGTAGACGCGTGCATGCGTGGCGTGGACGATTCGCAGGTAGACAGGGAGAAGGAGAGAAAGAGGAGAGCAAGAAGGGAGGAAGAGAGAAGGGAGGCGGCCTTCGCCACGGTGGTGGTGCGTACGCACGCGAGAACACCTACACGACAACGCCCGGTTGCGCGTATCCCAGGCCCGTTGTAGTCCCGGTTTCTCTCTCTCTCTCTCTCTTCGCGGCATGCGTTATAATCTCGATATCCCATATATCCACGTACAAGACATGCCTCCCATTTTAAATATACCATCGTGTAATTCATAATAAATGACTTATAAATGCAATGTACTTTTTGTAGCGGGGAATCGCGCGCCCGTTGTGCGAGCAACCACGCCGTGGCTCCTCCTTTTC